GTGGCTTTTAGTGCCACACAAGGGCCCTCACCTCGTTGGATGCCGATTACGATGTGCCTTGAAGTGGACAAACAGCTGCAAACGATGGAGACTCAAGCGCTTGCCAGTGTGCTCAACGCACCCTTTTATGTGCGTGTTTGATGAGTTTTTCACATGCACAGCGGGCGATTTTGATTGGTGCGTCAGTGGTACATGACACGACATTGTATGTAGAAGGAAATCGCACAGCATAATCTGTGCGTCGAAACACGCCAGCACAAAATGCCAAAGGTGCGATGCCTTTACTCACTACAGAGTAAACTGGAGAGTGACAGCTATTGAGGTTAACGTTATGGGTAACCGGCATGCACACTCTGTAGGCAAAACTGAATTACCCTCGCAATGAACTGTGTTGAAGTCTCGTCCTTCTAATTTCATGATTTCGACAGTTATTTCAGAATTGGCCATGACAGTGCTGTTGCAGGGCAGGTAGCCCTTAGCATGTACACCATCTTGCACCAGTTTGTATAAATCCCCACCTTCTGTAAATACATTTGGCCACCGGTTAGAAAGGTGTGCTTTCGTTTGCCTTGACGCTGTTATGTCGTCGAAACCAGTGCCAGAATGCCAAGTAACCAAAACCCAAATCTGTCGACGAATGCTGGCGTTACTCTCAGCCTTCAGTACACTCCACAGACCTCGTGTACTGGACGTTTCCGGTCTCAGCCAAGGGCTACGGACATGTGCGAAGCAACAGTTTGTGGATGCCCTGCCTGGGTGCCATCGACAGCACGGATAGAGAAGGATGAACACAGAAGGGCTTTGATGGTGATGATGTTGATAGAAAGGGCTTAAATCCGTGAATGGATCAACGTTAGTTTTCTCAGTTACATTGAATCTGCAATTGTTTTGTTAAGGTATCTAATAAATGAGTTAGACAGTGAACATGCATTGGAAATTGTGAAGAAGTAGCAAGTGTGCATGCCTTTTTGTTTCGTTTTCTCAGCTGAATTTTAGAGCCAGTGATTTCTATCTTTTTTATCTCTTATGTTTGAAAATACGACCTCCATAAAAGTCTCACTCAATATTTGTCACTACTAAATGATAATCTTAAAATTGTCATTAAAAAATTAAACAGCCATTTGTAATGATGTCGATAATGGAGAACGAGAAGTTGTTGAATTTAGCGTGTTCATATTTTTTGCACTGCTCAAGAGCCTTCATTGAGGAAGTCAAGAAATTGCAGGCACGCGTTGAAGAGGCTGATCGAAGATACGAAGGTCTCCTGAATTCTGGCATCCCACGTGGAACACATTGGAGAGTGCCTGATGAGGCGAAGGCAGAGGCTCCATGTGCTGCCATGCTCACAGCGAAGGCTGTTGAAGTGCCCTTCGTGTTCGCTTTGAAGGCTGCGTCGAGAGCGCAACGCCAAATCGGAAAGGCCATGAGGGCTGGTCAAGCAACCAAAGCGGCCTTCACAGCTGCCAATGCCTCACGTCGGACGCTGAAGATGGCGACAAGGTCAATAATCGTCGTAGATGTGATCTTCACTGCGTGGGAATTTGCGTCGATAATCAAGGATTGGAACACACGTGACCCAACACAGGAAGATATCGATGAATTGATTGAAAAACTTCAGTAAGTCAGTGATTGCAATGCATTTGATGTTGGAAGAGTGGGATGTTTGTCAACAGAACATCTACATAAATCAGCCCTTGTCACATCACAGTAGTAATTGAATTACATGTCAAGGTATAAAGTCGTTAAAATTGTCCCTTACCTGATGCCAGCAGAGACTACTCTGGAGGAAAGCAGGTCGATTGCGATTGATTGCCCATCTGTGGGTAGCATCCGGATTGTCTTTGTGTTTCACAACTGGTGATGATAATGCAATTTCCAGGAGATACAGGTATGCAATGCGAATGGCGCGTCTGTATTTTGATTGGTTTAAAATTGACCACAGTGGTTGCACTGAGCCCGGGTGTGTTACTGTGTTCCTTCAGTTCTCGGAATTAGAGATGTCGGCGATTACGCTGAGAGGAACGTCGAAGGTGGCTCAATGTGTCATATGTTAAAATGTGTTTGCGTAGTCATCAATTACTAATTGGATGTTTCCTTAGTGACACAACGCGTGTTTGCAAATACGCCGTGAAAATATGTTAGGTTTGTAGGGTAACCTAAAACCCTGTGGATGAATTGACGCAAATCGAACTGCATTGACTTCAGCATGTTGAATTGGACTAACAACAACAACAACAACAATAATGGCAGTACGTATTAATAATGACCAAACGAGTTGAACTAGGTGACTTGTAACCGTGTAAGAAATCACACGTTGTACAAAATATCGTTGTCAATTGGAGTGCTACAGGGTGGTCTTGAGTCAACTATATGGGAAATTTACGGTGGCTGTGTATCATTTACGTAAAAAATGATACAGAGTGTTAGTATTTTTGACTGTGCATCGTTCATGTTAATAGGGCGAAGAAGGATGAGGCAGAAGAAGTGATGAAATATCTGCAGTCTGACTTGTCGGATACCCTCGCCATCGGTGACGACAACTAACTGGCTGTTGGACCAATCAGGACATCGAGTTCAACTCCAAAGGTCGCCATTTTTCCAGGCAGTCGTTGCTGTTCTTGTGCTTGTTTCTGCCAACCTTTTAATCAACTGCAATTACCAGAAGCAGCACTAATTAAACGCTTTCACTGCTTGTTCTCGATGATGATTTGCGACGATTTGTCTTGCTTTTTACACAGAAACTGTAATGCAGCTATTGGCGCTGTTTGCCTTGTACTCAGTCCTTATCCAATGGGGGACACATGCTCGACAAACCATCAACACGAGTGCAGACAAAGTTGTGACCAGAAGATTTTGTGCTTATGAGTTTAGTTTATCTAATGATAAGATGATTTTAACGTTGAACATTCTTCTGGTTGGCAATGCAAAGCAGATAGAAAAGGTACCAAATCGACTCTCTTGAAGGCAAAGAGAGTGGAAGTTAGAAAACAAGTGCGAACGTGACGAAGAGTAAAAATGGCACAGCTCCTTCATAATATTGCAGATATATCAACTAAACTGAGTGAGAGTATATGCATGGCCCATGACAACAAGTTGAACGTGACACCAACCTCTACATTTGAAGCACCGAAGATTACAGTGACATTTTCCTGAATTCGTACATACTTCCGACAGAATCCCATTACGTGATATGTTGCAGACACCAAAACGAGTAACCCAGTTTTGCTTAGCGTTAATTGGAAAAACATGTGCTGTGGATTTGTTTAAAACAATGAACAGTACTGTTAACTACCTTCATTCAATAACCTGCCTTGTACGGAATCGGAAGACGCATTCAAACAAGCGAGCAAGTGGATGACACACCTTACGACAACAATGAAGCCAATGTGTAATTATCAGTCGACATTGTCGAAGCCCAGTGGTTTGATGTACAGTTATTAGTCATCTGATTGATAACAACAGCAAACATTCAATGGCAAGCGCTAGTGCTTCCTTTTATGGTTTTTAACCAAAGTCAGTTCGGTACATTCCCATCTGCCACCACAAACAGTCGTTTACGCGCAAACACTATGAAAATCAACCTCCTGGATATTCAAAGCCTCAACAAACAGACCAATGGTGTTTGAGTATTCTCTACACAATTGCACAGACACGACTGACTATAAATGTGTGCTGCTAACCTAATTAGTGCCGACTGTAAAGTGCTGCGTCTCTGTGCCACAGCTGTTTGCAAGTAGACATTTTCGAGAGGGCAACATTCGTGTATATGGATTCGCAAGAAACTCTTCACGAAATATTAAATTACATCGAGGTTCTTGATGAGGTTACGAATGAGCTGCAGCAAAAGAAAAAGCAGCTTGTCTCACTGAGGACAGGGTGCTTGGCTAGCAGATCTGCTGGTGCCACCGTGGGGACCGTCGGAACGATCATCTCCATTATCGGATTTATTGGAGCACCATTGACGGGTGGGTTGAGTCTGGCCGCGACGGTAGGCGGCATGGCCACAGGACTGGCGGGTGGCGCCACTGGAAGCATTGCTGAGTGTGTGCAGCACTTTAAGAAGAAGTAAGTCTCATTTTTTCGGAATACTTAAGAGACTCTGCGAGATTTGTAGTCTGTTTTGCTTTTTTATCAGAATTGGTTCCAGCGACACCTCGATTAATAACTTAAGAGGTCGAAATGGACCTGCAATCAGTAGAAGGGGTAACTAACGCTTATACATTTAGTGTTTATTAACAAGTTTAAAATTTAAAAAAAAACTATAGTGAGCTAATGACAACGAGGTCTCCGTGGTAATAATAATGGAAGTCAAATTCGTAAAATGTTGAGACAACGTTGTGGAAAAATAATGGACTGCTTTAGAGCCCATATCAACGCGCACGTACCCCGGGTACATGAAGAGCAGCCAGCATTCAGGCTCAGCAAGTGACTGTCGTAGGTGTCATGGGTGTCAAATCAACCGTCAACCACACCGATATGCAACAAGTAATTTAGTTACTGCGTGTTGACTTGACATAGACCAGAATGTAAGCGGTTGTAGATTTGTTAGCCATGCGTCCTGAGGTTATATGGGGATAACCAACATGCATGTCAGATCCGCAAAATTCTGATTTCAAATAGATTTGCTTGTCAACAATCACGCGATTTCACGCTGATACTGTTGTTTCCTTAGTGATGTGAATCAGGTTTCTGCAAAACAACTAATACATTATATTTGCACTTATCATGCACTAACAAACACGACAAAAGGACGTGTAAAATGTTGATGATGATCTAACGAATAATTTAGATTGAGCGAATGTAGGACAAAATGTCAAATATTTTATCGCATTGCATTTGCAGATGGTGACGTTTGTGCTGTAGCGTTGAAGGCCGCAGGCAGACGTGAACTACCACACTTACCTAACCTATTGTTCGTTAACCCACAATATTCTTTCACAAAACCTCAGTGACAGGGTACCGAAATTACGGTTGAAGAATTGTAACTGGCTGCTATACAATTTGAGTATTGCATTGTGTAGCCACTCGCATCAGGGATATAGATCATCGTTTACACCATTATGGGGTTCAGATTTGCAAATGCAAAATCGTAGGTCGCTTATAGCTGCAAGCACATGTGTTCTGTGCCGCACGGTTACTGGATTCATTCGGACAGTCATGAACCGCCGCCATCAGATAAGCTTAATGTTATTTACTAGACATCGTTAAATTGGTGAAGTTATAATGCTAATCCATTTACTTCATTTTTGTTAGCAAATTTCACATAGTGTTCAAATGAAATGGTTGTAGCGGATTAACAGCGATCGCGCCTGAGTGAACCATGGTAACTGACCTGACAGTGACAATGACTCACCCCCTTTTTCATTGGTTACTATATCCGATGCCTGTCATCCGTTCACTCATCCACACACTAAGACACACTTGGCTGGCTTGACGCTAATAAACGGTCGTGTTCACGGTCGCCTCTCTTCTCTCCATTCTCGGGTTGTCTTGGGCAGTTAACTAGAGGGTTGTAAGGTAGTGCTTAGACCATAAGCTACTACATGGTATTTTATCTTTTACTCCGTGTTTTTTACTTCGAAAAGATTAGTTCCTTGTTTTGTGACTTTAATACATTATTTAGTTACATTAACAAACCGACTTTAAATGTGACCTTTGTTAGTGTCCCTGTAGGTCAGAAAGGGGCAATTGTAACCCAACATCAAGAGCATCTTCAATCATGGTAATCGTAGTACCTCCTGACGACACGACGGGTATTACCGCGTAAGAAGTTAGGAAGAAGGATGGGAAGTAAGCGAAAACTAAAGAGATGCTGCGAAACAGGGGAGAAGGGTAGTAAGAAAGGAAGTGATTTGGTGGTGCTGACGGCGACTGTGGCGGTGGGGAGAGGGCAGCTGCGTGTGCTTGCGTGTGAGGTGCGATTGTCGCATGCGGCGATTACACTCGTGACACACTCTCTTTTCTAACTCGTTCCATAGTTGAGTCTCAGTTCTGTTTGGCTGGTAATAGATTAGGAATCAAAAATGGTTGTGTTTAAGTTGACAAACTGTTGCGATGGTGTGCGCATCCTTGCATTTGTTAAAATAACCACGACTGGTGGTTTCGATAGAACGCACGTGATGCCTGCTGCAGTAGGATACTTATGACCTTCACGGGCCTCCAAAGTGTTTAATTGACGGCATTTTAGCATGTCAAAACTCCTATTTAAACTGCTTCCATGTTGCGATTGCCTACGAGTCAGGCAAGTGTGTGTGGGTGGGTGGTGGCTAATCGGACGAGAACCACACATGGGTTGACCCAGTTTATAATTACATTCTTACCAGTGTGTTGCTGCTGTTGTTATTTTAGTAATCGCCTCCAAATCTTGGATTGATTAGCATTCATCGAAAGCCTGCTGTTAGAAGTAATCATTTCCGTATGTAAACAGACAGAAGGAGGAAATATCTGGCAGTGTAAAATTGAGTCTCAGTTTAAATAATTTGGCTTTGCGAGAACCACTGCAAGAGGCAACATGGAATGCTAACTTTTGTCGTTAAACACTCGCCGAGTTTACCATAGTCAGGATGTTCAAAAAGAAAATGGGAGACGTGGTAGAAATGTTGACCAAGGCGTGAATGATCGTGTGTATGGCCACAAATGTGATTTTACCGGATGTTGAATTCAATATGCAACGATGACCAGCACCAGTATTGATTTTTACGTCTAAATACTTCACAAACAAAGTCAGGAAAGAAACATTACGTTAAACATATATTCGTGTAGCGGGATTATATACAGTTGGACTGCATGGAGTTGGTTGGTAGCAGCTAAAATCACGGCAGTCGTAGAAGTCTGTTTGGGATGTTCTGAGAGATGCAGCTGTGCCTACAGAAAAAGGCAAACTAGGTCGCTAGAGGCGATTCGGCAGGAAGCCACGACAGTTCCAAGACCGACAAAGGCAGCGCCGAAGAAACAAACCACCCGGCGAATTTGCCTTTTCGCCATAGTCGTAGGTGAGTTCCGTATCAGCGCGGATATTGCGCAGAGCGAAGAGGGCTAATGTCGGATACACAGACTCATGTCTGACTGGGATGACGGTTAGATTGGGGTGGCAAGAATGGTTTATGAAGCAGAAACTTGGCATTATTAATAAAGGTGCGTCACCGGTGTTAGAGACGGTGGCATCGCCACAGCCATCAACTACTGTCTCGAAAACAATGTGCCTATCTGGGCCACAGAACTCGCGGACAACCATGGCAAAGTCGTGACCCATGAACATTTGCTGCATATTGACCACTATGTGGGCATTTCGTGGCAGTAGGTAGTTTCCGGTGAAGACAGACACAAACTCGCCTTGGAATAAATCTCGTGCCGCCAACACGCCCAGTCCCTTGTCTCCAGCAAGGCAAACGGATAAGGCGCTAGTGTCATGCTTGCGGTTAAAGACAACTCGATTAGTGCACCTAGATTGGGAGCACCTGCAACCTCCATGGCATTCGAAGACTGGCCACTGACACGTATTTATCGGACGCAGCAACTGCCGAAGTTTGGTGGAACCTGGGTCATAATTTCTTTCCTGAGACAGCTGAAGACATCGGCAATAAAACGCGTCTGAGCACGAACCTGTGCATTCACAACCAATATTTTCGGTGTAGATGAGATCGTCTGAGACGTCTTCGTCGTAAATCATCTACGAGAGGAAAAGATGGTTATTTATAAGTGCAGTTCAGAAATCGGTCAATGTTGACAGATGCAGAATCGCAGGATTACCGGTAACATGCAGCAGCCTTGTCAGTGCTTAACAGAGACATTCAATCATCTAAGAATTCTAGATACTCATAATTGGATATTTTTGCAAAGAAATTAAGTTAATTGATCAGGGCTACTGTGAGCCTTTCCTTAATTTTTTTGAGTTAACTACTGACATGTCAGAGCAAATGGCAGGAAAAACGCCTTGCTTGAGGAATCATTGAAGCATGTGTCGTGTCGGAATAGCGTACTTTCGTGCAGACACGGTCCAGACCACCATCTGCTGGATGGTCTTGGGGTTCACAAGAGAGGATTCCCTGGTAGATATCAACTAAGTATTACCTAATTTGAAAACGCACAACACGTAGACTTGCAGTAACTCCTTTTGTGATGGAGTAATGCCAGCTCATCAAGACGTTTTACTCTTGCGCAATGACGTGGTGGGAGCTAGGCAGACTGCGCATAGCAAGACTGCAACCACTTGTCTGGTTTGAGAAAAACGAACTTCAAGCTGACGCAACCACTGACACAGCACGCCTGTTGATCGACAGATGCCAAAGGTGACCGGCTCCAATGGGCCCTTGCGGGAAATGACAGCAGGAAATCGGGAGTAGGTGGCAAGACTGAAACTCCAAATGCCAGATTGCCTCGCGAGCTCATTTCGAAGCAGAATGACGTCGCCAAGTGTGGCTGTGGTGGTGAGCGAATTCACGCGATTGACAATTGACAACGTCCAAAGTGTCATTTAGCTTACGCGACGCAGGAAGTTGTTAAGTACTGAGTGGACCCATGCTATACTACAGCACTCACTCAAACTACACTTGTGCATTGTGAAATGGACACTATGCAGAGCAAGTTATAATTTTACACAACAAAGGGGCTAGTTCTTTCATACGGTCTTATTGCACACTTGTCCAGAGCCTTGTGCAGTGACGATTGTTGCACTATTCCAAAATAGTTTATTTTCGCCTGCGTTCAAGTCAACGAACCTGGATATTTCTAAACTCGTCGTCAAATACGATTATGATTAGAGCAAAAGAACAAATCAGTGCCATAGCTAACTATTAAAATAATGGAAAACCGACATTAAACGGAGTAAAGCAATCTCAGACCGCTCGCAAATCACAAGACGCGCATTTGTCTACACAACTTTAACAGACTACAATTAACTTCAGGTTAGTGATGCTGAATAGCCTTTTCGCATGGACGACGAATTACTAATGCCAGCAGTTATTGAATTTTACCTTGTCAAAATATGTTGTCGGCCTAAACGCAGGGCCAATTCAGACAAAGTTGTGGTAACTCGTTGCAACTTGAGGGATTGTCGACCAATCAATGAATGTCAGTTACTCCTGGGTTTGTTCAGTTTCCTGCCAAAGGACTGGGAATGTTATGAAGAATTATGAATTGCGTGCACAACTTTTGTGTCCGTCACAAGTGTGCACTGCCGCCCTTCCGATTAGTAAGTGAATCTTCTTCTAGCTGTCACTGTCATGAGCTATGGTAGTTTACTTTTGATTTGCTCTAACTGAGTTGCATTTACGGCCAGTTCACATTTGGCGTCAAGTGTGCAATTCGATGAGTTGTGAGATTTCAGTCGACAATTTTTTTTAGCTTAACGTGTTATGGAGCATACGGCATTAGATTGCTTATTCAACTAGAAGCCACAAAAATGAGAAATGAATTATCCCAGGGTTTCGGTTGGGCGCTTAATTTTTCAACGTTGTGTGAGATCATTTTTGAGTAACTTGCCTACTTTACAACTTTAAAACTGTAATGATGAAGAAATGGCTTCACAGCCGTAGTTTCCTGTGTAGATTTATTCGTGACTGCAAATATTTGTAGAATTTTAATGTCCTCGTGCGGTAACACTCACGCAACGCATTTGATGCTGTCAACAGGGTTTGATTAAGAAAGTCAACGACTGTTCTAGCGAGAACTGAACAAATTGAGTTGAGGTCGATTGGTTTATTTGCAGAGAAACATTTTTTAAAGCTACTTTCGCTCATTCATTAGCTTATCATTCGTGGACTGTAGGAAAGAATAAACCGGCTTAACGGATGTTCAAATAGTGATTTTTCAAACCTGCAAGTCGACACATCTCAAGACTCACTTTATCTTCACTACAAATAATTGAGACATTAAACAAATACGGTACCCACTACCCAACCCTGACGACGATGCGTTTTACTGACAGCTATTATCATGGGTCTTCAATGAACCCATCCTCGAAATTTGGCAACCGCAGACTTAACAGTAGTTCCTGCGCATAGAGACAATACTGGCATGATTCAAGAAGCTGCATAGCCGGCATATTTAATTGTAAAATGGTTTCTTAACTATCTCTAATAAGTCCAAGACACAAAACGGAATTTTCTTACGATAACGATAGTTAGTACTTTCATGGTTATGTGGTTGAATTTGTTAAAATGAGATATGCGTTTCCTTCAATATTTAATTGAAAAGGCTGGCAGGAGACGTTGTGTTTATTTTGCACTTAGCCGTAGACTTCGATGCTGGTGTCGTGGCATCACTTTGAATGAGGTCCCGTTAAAAATCCAAATTTGGTACCGTCGTTGTGACGCGCGCCATTCGACGCACGCACGCCGGTCTGGCCTGTTCTTTGTCCTCCTCTCCCTTCCCGCACTCTCGCCTTCCGCAAGGCACGCCCGTGAGTCCGAGGGCAACGGCAACCCTCCTCGCGGCCATCCCTTTCCCCACCCTAACTCTCCCTTAGCTCTAGCCCACTGAGTTTGTATGCGGTAGTATGAAATACATCCGGTTCTCCCAGCTATTCTTCTATCGTGTCCCTGGTAGCTAACCATGATGGTGTGGCTAACTAAGAGGGACGGGCTAACGGTCATCTCCCTATTTAGGTCCCCGCTCGGTAGGCGCGTTACATCGTTAATCTCACTTCACGCCAGAATGCATCAGGAAAGGCATTAGGTTTGATTTTGTAAATATTCAATGCAATATTTGCCAGCATGTTTGAACAAAGCGACAACAATTTAATGGGTTATGTTTGTTATCAAAGTAAATGTTGTCAGAACGTGGTTTCATTGAAATTCGCCGTCTAGACCTTAAATTCTCATTCTCAGCATCTGTCATGTAGACAGATTGGAAGGCCAAATATACGAATCATTTCTTCAGATCTCTCTGATGTCATTACCTCCTTATTTAACTTGTGCTGTGTTGACTTAATTCACATTGGACTGCCGACGTAAGAGCACGTTGTCCTGCTTTGCGCTTAATTGCACGTCTTTTAATTATGCCCGTTTTTTGTCGCATTCGTTGAATACAACAAAGAAGCCGTTGTCTTAAAATTTAGACACATTACACCAACCATTTAATGACGTGTTTGCATTGCTTCGCATAAACTTTATTACCATGAGTGACGTTTGAAGAAGTACTGCGAGGCCTGGCATATTGTGTGCCATTGCATTTTTGATTTTTTTTAATTTAAGAAAAACATGTGGTTACATATTTATTCATGTTTAACATTTTCGTGCCTCTTCACAGTTGTTCACAAAAAGAGCAATTTTGCAGCTCCTAAAACGGTTACAGTAACTTCAATCTCGTCAACTTCAATCAAGGTGGATGTGGTTGCTCCAGACGACGCGACCAACATCGATCAGTTCAACATTACTTTAAAAGACACACATTCGACTAGGTTTTGTGGAATCGAAGCTGGTGAATATCCTCTGGAATGCACAATAAGCGGTCTGTTAGAAGAGACTAACTACACTGTGGAGGCGTGCTCATGGATGAGGTCAGGTCAAATTTGCAGCGACTTCGTGGAAGCGACTGGATGCACAAAGCCAAAGGGTAAATTGTGTCAATGTAACCCACCTTGCAATGAATAAAGGATTAGTCACCTTGTTGCCTCGTTGTAGGAAGCACAAGTACAAGTGATATTTACCTCTATGTCATCTTTCTTGCAATAATCATAGGTTTTCGGGCCTTAGACGCATTAATAGCATTACCTGGTTATTTCGCTTTGTTAAAATTATCTTTATTAATTAGCCTTATGAGAAGTTTACATATAGTATCATTGATAACAATGACTAAATCCCTTTTCCAATGGTTGCTGGTTACGCACGCACGCACACACGCACGACCCTCTGCACAAAATATCATTTGGCTGGCTTAACGTTGATATACGGTCGTGTCCGCTGTCATATATCTTGCATTTGTTCTAAGGTACCTTAGATACTGTTAGCTAGGACGTTATAACGTACTTCAAACTAAGTCGCTGCAGAAAAAATTGGATGAACCAGTTAGCAAATGGTTGTATCTGTTGTGTTTAAAGATTGTGATCATCCAGCTTGTCATTGTAAAGTAATTCAGTAAATACCACGTAAATTCCATTATGTGGTTCACCATCCAATAGCGATAATTTCAATAAAATCATAATTTTGTTTGGTAAATATGGCATTATAAAATGACCAGTTCCAACGTCCGCATTGAACAAGCTTCAGCAAAATTGACTTTCAACCAACAATTAAGGAACTAGTAAATCTTAAGCAGTTTAGCAGTACAGAAAGAGTTTTCAAGTCGGCCGATTTTGAAAGTGTGCAGAAACCATAAAATTTGAACCCTTAGCAGAGAGAGTTAATGTTTTTGCAAATTATATAATTTGTTGAAGCAAATCTACTTTATGACCATAAGCAACGGTAATTATTCGAAAAAATTTGGAACAGATTTTTATCTCCTACGATTTGATTTTAGTGACACCAAAATTATTTTACGCCTAGAACAGGTGTATTAGAATTTGTAACAATTGCTTCTCATTGACTGTATTGGCTTAAATCAAAATTGGCTTTTTTAATTTTTTACTTTAAACATTTTTTTAATTCAAACTTTATAGGATCTAGTTAGAATGTCAAATAAAAGTTTATTTTTACTTCTGTTTTGCATGTTTGTTTAACTGAGTCACTACAAGCGACCAAAAGGTCACAGTCGAAGTTAAGTTAAGAAGTGAGGGAATTTGAGTGCGGTAAATGGGATGTGGAACCGTGTTTCTTATTTTAGGGCGGTGGATGTCATTCCTTATTTTGTTAGGCACCAGTAAGTGAACGCATAAAATTAATTCATGCAAGTTTATCCTTTCGATGTAAGCAATTTTGCCTTAATACTTTCAAATAGTGACCATTACTAATTGTTGCAAGTTAGCAGGAACGAAATAATCGTTCATCAAAGATAACGCTAAAATAATTTTAAATTTTTAAATCATTGGTGTTGTCAGTGGGCTACTGCACCCTAAAAAGTAACTGGATAAACCATAAATTAATTATCTCGAATTTATTCAAATTGTTTGAAGTATTCTTCCTGCCAAAGTGAGTTGTCTTTCTAATCCTAACAATAATGTGACACAGAGTGCAATATTAAGCTTTAATGTCTCTCTTATGTCGTCATTAATCTTATATCCTAGTCCAATAACCAAACTAGCCGTAAAGGAATACTGTGGTTAAATATGGGTTCCTTTTACAAAAAGGTATCGTGATGACCCGTATTATGCAGTTACTTGTCTGACTAAATTTTAATACACAGTATTTCTGTGGTTCCTTAAAGTGAAGAAAAATTGTGCAGACGACAATAAGGCTGAATTCGGTTGAGAATGTCAGTTTTTACATTCATGTCCAATGAAGATCTGTTTCGACAAGTCCAATATGAATAATGATTAAATGCCTGTTAGTCAACTGGCCGTATTGTCATTATTATTTTAGGACCTGACACGATGGCCAATGCGACTCCGAGTGACTTTTACGGTACCTTATTTTCGTATCTTGTTAATTTTTTATATCACATTCAGACCATTCCTTTTACTGCATAGTGCTGTTTAATAAATTAGATTTGCAACTTTTCTGTCCAGTAGACAAGCTTAGGTTGCTGTTTGTTACATGGTAAAAAGAAACACACGTATAGGATCGCTTTGAGCCACACACCATGACTTTTTACATAACTCCTAATTAACTCACACGTCTCATGAGGACGTTGATTTTTCAGTAATCTTAGTGTTCATTACTAATTTGTGTAGTTATATGTGAAATCTGCAGCAATTAACTATCTGGCTGTTATAAATAGGCGATTACAGGTTTGGTTCGGCCCACAACCTTGGTTTTTTTACCTACAGTGACAGCTAAAATCTTACCGGATATATTTATCGCGAATTTTACCTCTCACATTAAATGTAAACTAAAATTTACAGGCATTGTTTAGGGAAGAAATAAATTACATGGGTACGAAGTTTGCAAATGTGGGTTTTTTTGGCTATTTCTACAAATGGTTGAGGTCAGGTCTGTATTTTTGGGTTATAGTCTCTTTTAGCAGAACCTTTAGTAGGAAGACTTATTAAAAATATTTTCGATATAAACGCTTGAATTTGCTGGTTAAACCATGTGATCAAGATACCCGTTGTGTAGAATTGTAGACTGTCCAATTAAAACCGAGGTCAGTTACGACGCTGCTGCCTCCTGGCACACGCCTGACCAGCGTTGGCTTGAATCATTCCGTAAACATGGTGATAAATAAACTAAACTAATGTGCGAGTCACCAAATCTATTGCACAACTCGTGTGTCTGCTAAATAAATGTGTGGTATCTTCAAATTTGAACAAATTAAAGTGCCCAGAAAATGATTATACCTGATTTACTACAGCAAGAACGTTTGGTGGCACTGTGATTATGACCAACAAATAGCCACTTGATTTCTATTTGACACAATTTCATCCTGTAAGACTTTGCATTCATTCCGTCATTTGCAGTTTGACACTAATTTCAATTTCTTATTAATCCGTATTTCTAAGCTACATATTCCTGTCTTTCATAAATGTATAGAACTTTTTAACCAACTATGATTTATGATATCACGAATCTTGTAGTTACCATAAACCAATTCGGTCGATCAAGAATTTTACACCAAATATATCCAAAACTTATTCTAATATATTCGGAAACACACCAGAATTTTTTGTGAACAAACTTTCAATTGTAAGCGTGGCACAAATATGCCAAAAACAAACACGTTTATATCCTACAAAATGTCGTACATATTTGAGGTATATGTGTTGACTGACTAATCGCAGTGCTCAAACCATAAATACATTACTTTTGTTGTAGCTCCGCATGGCCTGATTGTCACCCCGTATTCTACCTCCTCCATCAAAGTAACCCTTATACCTCCTGACCACACGACGAACATCATCCGCTTCGTCGCCGTCGTGCACAAGGCTCCCTTTTTCGCAATGTGTGAAATAGAAGTGAATAAATACCCACCGAGTTGTGTCATTGGACGTCTCAAGGCCGGAACTAAATACGAGGTCGAGGCTCACTCACGAATCCAAAAAATCCCCTTTATCAGTCATAGCGTAGAAGCGGCTGGCTGGACACTGCCAAATGGCATGTTTTATCTTCTTTGCCTATGAATTCAGTCGATGCTTTTTTCTGTCTTGTTGCGCCTATTTAGACTTCATCATGCGTCATTGGTGGAGGCCTGGTTGGAGTTACTCTTTAGACAAAATATGCATTTTTTATAGTAGTCTGTTAGAAGCTACAAGTATTACTGTTTGCAATGGCCTTTCAAAAAGGGTTTCAGTTTCAGTTTTTTCAGCAATCGTATCGTGCAAAAAAGATATTCCCAATATTCTCTATGAGTGATGTAAAGTCGATTAAAACCAAAGCGTTTTGCTTCAAATGCAAAGTGAATCACGAATAGGCGAAACTACTGTAACCTATTGGTAAAAAGTCATAAAATCTAATTTTCACTGTGATAAACCTGTCCCCTGATCTACCAGCTCCAGGAAAAGTGATGGTGACGCCACTTTCTTCGTCGTCTATGGCTGTTCGCATGGAGGCACCAACTGATGCCACAGGAATCGGCCGCTACGAGGTGACAGTTGATGGAGTGTATCCAACGCCATTCTGCACAATACTGCGTGGAGATCAGCTGGAGTGTCATGTGGAAGGTCTGCAATCAGCCACCGAGCACATGGTGACAGCGAGGACTTGTATCAGCGACACGGACCCGGCTGTGTGCAGTAATATACTGACGGCATCGGGATGGACAAAGCCGATGGGTAGTTACTTGGTGTCATTGCAACAACCTCAGCATTTTATATGAATTTGCTAACATGGTTTTTTTCTACTGTTTGTAAATTATCCGTGTCAAAAATTATACCCAATCCAAGGCACCCATATATACTATTGGACTAGGAATAGAGATACTACACACTAAAATCCCAGCATTTTTAAAACGATGACAACCAAAATAGGGTATCATGACCAGGACGCACCACAAAAGAACATAGTCCATCCCCTTTGGTCACAATCCATCGGTAAATTTGGCGTTTGCCTGCGAATTTTGGTAAAATCGATTAAGAGATTTGCAATTTGTAACATCAAGAGATCACGATCTTTCTCCAGATGTCTCATAGGTGTCACTTGGAAAGTTTAAAATCCCAATGAAATTATTTTGAGAGCGGTGGTGACACATCACTCTGGCAAAGCCGGAAAAGAAATGTCCATCCTTTAAAACCACTGCTGTGCCTCACCGCATTGTCAAAAACTGGTGATTGCCCAAATTGTATCACTTTAGTCAACAGATTTGCCTACAAACAAAGTGCATACAATTTTACATGCAAAAATGGAAGTCTAAATGAACGTCTTTTGGTCTGACTGCAGGTTAGCCACTCAGTGTAGAGGCTTGTCTTACAATTACCTTAAATCTTCTTTGCCGTACTTCCACTGAACCGATTGCTTGATAAGACAAAATAGCAGGTCTGTATTAGTTGCTTTCAGGCACGGGTTTTTAATAATTATTTGTCTGGATAACAGTCTTAGTGACGGTTGACGGTCACGCATGTGCACTGGCGCAGTTGATCTCGTTGGAAACGATGTCATGTTTATAGAAAACGGTAAACAAAGGCCCTAAATACAGACCACCACGGTGTACCGCACGGTGTATTATTATTAGGCTGCATAAAATGCAACGAAATGTCTGCACTGTGAAGACTCAGTAGCAGCTCTGTTTCATTTTGAATCAGCACCGGCGAACGTGACGGTGACGACAATTTCTGACTCGTCGGTGGATGTGAGCGTGCAGGCGACTCCTGATTTGGCGCGAATTAGCCGTTACAAGGTGTCCATCGCTGAAGGCAGGGCGACCGAATCCTGCACAATACCACCGGGAGAGAAGCTTAAGTGCCGACTGAAGGGCCTACAATCATCTAGCAAGTACGAGGTGATTGTGAGAGCCTGTGTTCACACCACAGGTCCGGACGTTTGCAGTGACGACGTGATGGTGACTGTATGGACGAAGATAAGTTGTTAGTCAGGCTTTATGTTTTCATATATTGCGACGACATTTTAGTTGAACTATTCGTGACTGGTTTTCCACAAATTCGTGGTCATTTGTGTACCACAGAGTGCAGTTTTATGACTGTTTAGGACAATCTAATTCAATTCAGTGGCGTGGGCCGGTCTGCTAACGTTAAAAAGACCTAGAGAATCCCTTTTAAATAACAATCAAGTATTGTTACGCTTTTTTGATATTTGAACAACGCGTTTGTAAAGTCATAGTGTGCAAGACTTCCAGAGAGGACAGATATGCTCTTGACATGTTCCCATTTTCCCTGGCCTCATTAATTCTATTTAAGCCGGCTGTAAAGCAGCGTCAAAATTTACAAATTTGTGGGTTTTGATCTTTGAAATGATAGTGGCTCTTGCGGACGCAAACCCAACTTGTCACAGTTACTTTTACCTTCAGTGAGCCCCGGTAACCTTGCTCTTATCATCACCTGGACTGCAATTTCTCTGGTGGCCATTATTTTGCTTGTTGTCTTCTTCCTAAAACGAAAGCTAAACCGCCGCGATAGCAAACCCTCAAAGAACAGGTTAGTTGTTCAAAGCAGTGTAGCCAGTGTTTCATAAAGACTACGCAGACTTAGCAGAATGGTTTTCATGACTGATTCCCTGGCCGAGATATTGACATTCATCTGGACGATGTATTTGACATTAAAGTTAGTTTATTTGGAACGCCTAGCTGATCAAAAGTTTACTTCTTGCCAACCAAAGGCATGTAGATATAATTTTTCAGCGTATGTAGAAGGCTAGCGACAAATGGCATCCACTAAAGCAACAAAAGCTTTATTTCAAAACTGATCTAGACCAGTAATGCCATACCCCTAGCAAAACCACTTGGGCTTTATTCAAACGGCCTCAATGAAGACTTTGAATAAGTCCGTCTACTTTTTCAGCATTGAGTTCAGTGTATTCCACGGGGACAAAGTGGAGTTTACTTCTTCCTCTTCTTCCGAAATTGTGGGGTAAGTATTTTTTATACCATTCGATCTACCGTAAATTTGCTTAGTTCCAGTAACAAGAAGTTTCTATTCGAAATTTAAAAAAAAGTACTGCGAAGTTGGTAATTAAGTTTAGTCACAACGTGGTGACATCTGGATGGACAGAACCATATTGTAAGGAAAACGCTATTTTTTTCCTGTATTTTCCATCAATCATCGTTTTTAGTGTAAGGCCAAACTAGTTTAGCAGTAAGTTATTTATCTTGGCACAAGCGCTTGCAAAAGAGGATGTACCTGAAAAAAAGTTGATGTCTTGTTGATGGACAGTTTTTGCCGTGTAGAGGCAGAATGTCAATCGACGCCCTTACTTTTTGACACTAACACTTTTTGGAAACGTTGTGTTTAGGTAGGAATTAACCAGGTGTAGTGATTCGTGTTTAATCTCGTCAATTAACCCGGTTACCGCAGTATCAGCCACACGTGTCCCCCCATTTTTTTCTCGGCTAACCCGTCTGCTCATTCATTCCTGTGCATGAACCACTCAAACGACGCCCGAGCCATTGCGTTGAATCCAGCCCGACTAAGCTACTCTGATACCCTCGACGCTGCAGAAGACTGGCGAGGGCGAGGCACGACCGTTTAGCAGATCGTCGTTCAACTGTGTTGTGTTGTCGGGTGCTTGTATTAAAAGTAATGCATGATTGTCACAGTCTGGGTGAATTAGTAGATGCACAAGCGTCTGAATCAGTGGTTCATGCAAAGAAATGGCTGTTCGCTTGGACTAGGATCAATGTGGGACAAGTATTTGATTTGAACTACAAGAATAACTTTCGATTATCTGTCTCAGTAGGGACCATGGAATCAGTACGATCAACTACACACTTGTCATTATTTTGACCAGAACCACAAGTGAACGTCGTTTATGTTAATTTTATTCATTCAAACCAGTTATCGTATAGTGTTAGCTTCAGGGAGGAGGATGCCTATGTTACTACTTTGGTTCCCCACGAATGGCTGATTGGTTGATATGGCTCTTCGTTTTAGACAAGGTCCCATAGATTTCGCCGATTTCCAAAAGGTTTCATCGTGGCTTGATGACACCGACGCCTGGAATCAGCTGTTTAGAGTGAGTTTTCTGTCTATCACACTGCGAAAAATATTGATTCAACGGATATACCTAGTATACCCACATTCTTATAAGCAAGTGCAAAAGGTACCCAGAGAGTAGAAAGGGACAGGGAGGGTAGGGTGAGGGACTCAGCGTATGTATGTTGGGTCTCTGTTGTCACAATGCTGCGCAGGCTGTTGACCAAGAGGGCGAGTGAATGCCCAGACAAGTGGCTAAGAGGCGCCTGTCCAAATGTTTTTGTGTTTTAATGATGAAGGCGAGAAGAAGGGACGAGGTGCCAGAGTGCGCAGCGACAGAGTTTGTCGACGTAAATCAACACGAGTCACAGACACTGCTGGAACACGCTTGTTTTACATAGGTTGGTTTTGCGTAAATCGTTTTACGAACACCAGCGTTTTCGTGCTGATAAGTACTCAGGCGTAGAATACGCTAAAGGATATCAAAACTAGCTAGTAACGAAACCTGTGATGGGTTGTAGTGAATTGTGCTGATTCACATTTTAGTAACCCGATCGTCGCACTCTCCACAACACTCATTTTTTACGGCATTAACCGTCTCCACGCCACCCGCTTTATTCATCTCAATACCTAGTCACTTGTACTTGTATTGGTTCATCCAAATTGTCTTAAACTGCAACCGTGTTCGGCGCGACAGACACAACTACGTCGACCTGTCTAGAAATCGGTTGTTTACATCATCTCCGGTGTTCTTGGCTCCTCGGGTAACTACTTAGAGCATTCTACCTAATTTAACAGAAAAACATACAATTTGGTTCGGATAATGCGTAGTTTTCTGGTAGCAACTCCTCAAGCCTTCAAATAATTCTATCGCATTTCACATTAGTTGTTGAGGGCTGCTTCAGAGGAACAGGAACAAGCATTTGGTCTAACCCAAACCACAGCGCGGCTCCATCGAAGTCTCAACCGTTATGTCGATATGCTACCATGTAAGTTTTTAATCCTCTTTTGCCCCAAAATGTCCACCACCCTCAGATCTCAACACGATACAAAATGCAAAAAAAAACAAAAAATTTCACGTATTTTGTGTAGTTTTCCTAGATGACTCATACCTGGTGTTAAGATGAAGAGAAAACTGTAAGGTTAGCAGAATGCGCACAAGCTGATGAGTCAAGACTGCCAGTACATCACTACGGCTGGCATTCTTGGCTTTCTTACAAAATCGATCTCATTGGAACAAAACGTGTTCTATTAAATATGTCTAAAGGGCCTCCACTTCAAAGTCGCTCCTTTAAAATGTCAATAAATTCCACCACAATTCAGCTGACGTGGTTTTGGTTAACCCCTTGACATCTTGTGCACTCGAACCTAAATTGAGTTCTGAACGCAATCGACCTACTACGATTAATGAGTAGTTTGTAACAAATGAGTTATGCAACATTTTAAATCCCTGTTACCATCTGCCATTTAAATGTGAGTGCTCACAGGTCATCTCCTTTGTAGATGATCAGTCAAGGGTAATTTTGGGTCAGAAATGGCAAATACCGTTGATGCCTCCTGATCCCGCAGCCGTGGTAAGTGTCTGGATGTGAAGTAATCTTGTATTCTTACCACCTGCTCATCTGCTGTGTTGCGAATTGTCTCAGAACGGTCATGACGCAGCCTCCTACATCAACGCCTCATATGTGAGGAGACCCGCCTACACGGAGACAGGCGCTGCCGTGACGTCGAGTCAGGACACCCAACCGGAGTACATCGCAGCCCAGGGTCCACTGCCTCACACCGTCGCGGACTTCCTCACGATGATCTACGAACAGAGGTGTCCCCACATCGTCATGCTTTGCAAGTAAGATTGTGATCGAAGACAAATCCTAACCACCTATGACAACACAGCCTTGATTCGCTCTGTCTTCTTTTGGTAGTACTACAGAAGGTAACAAACTGAAATGCGCCAGGTACTGGCCAGAAGTGGACACTGAAGAATTCGCGTCGGAGTGCCACAGTGTCACCGTGACCAAACTAGACGAAGAGGCGAAGCCTAACTTTGTCTTTCGCAAATTCAGCATTCTGCCCTCCAACGAGAACGACGTGAGTTACCTATGAGCGACTCTCGGTAATCATGGCAGTGGTTACATTTTCAGTGACAGCCGAAATTCGCAAGCGTAATCACATTGCGTAGGACGTATACTCACAGCGGTGTCTGAAATGTTCGGTATAATTACTGTGGTTGTATTTAAGTAGTTGATTCTGCTGTCAGTGGAAGTAGATTTGTTGGCAGGTGTAGAGCAGCCTAATTGAAATGAAGGTCTATAATGCAAAGTAGGAACTAATAAATGCACCGTGGAACGGCATAGAAATCATTAACCATTGACTTTCATGGCGCTGGTGATTAACTCCTCACATTACAGCCATGGACGGTTAGACAGATCCACTTCACACTCTGCAATGCCAGTGAAGTTCCTTCAGCTGATTGGACGTATTCACTCATTCTGACTCATCTGTCGTTGTTGGAGCAAATATCGGTTTGCGACTACGGACCCCCAGTTGTGCACTGCAGGTTCGTAACCGTGTCTCTCGCTGTTCCTTTAATTCAGTGTGAGATTGACTTATCACAAGTGCACGCCTTTTTGCTTCCCAATAGCGCTGGTGTGGGTAGAACGGGGACATTTATTTGTGCTCGCTACCTACTCGAGCGACTGCGCAAGGACCCCTCGACAATCGATGTGTTTGGTACCGCGCTGGCGATTCGACGCTGGCGCAAAAGTTGTGTTCAAACAGCGGTGAGCGGACTTTGGGATTATCTCTTATTTTGTTTTTCTGGGAGTTTTTCAGGTTTTAAGTCTTTGTGTTGAAAATGATCTAGAAATTACAAAATTTAACAATCATGGTCAAATTACTATGACCTTAAAAATGCAAAATCCCGCTTGTGGCATTAAAGCCAAAAGTGTAAGTAAGCAGCCCTTAAACGAATAGATTTCAAATGGTTTATTTATATGCATAATTGTAAACACTTCATTTACTTGCAATTGATTCGAAGTTATCTCGAAGAGCTACGAAGTTCTTGAACTAAGTCTAAGTCAGGGATATTTTAACATTTGATTGACAGTCACAACTACACACATTTCAACCATTTTTAAAAAAGTAGGCTTTGCATTCTGATGCCGACATATAACGCTATTCCATACCACACATTAAGGACGAGACATAACATTTGCACGTTGAAACACTTTTTTCTAAGCAGGCATGACAGGATGGAATGAAGACTTTCAGATTAGGCATCATTATCAGTTATGTTACTCAAGTCACGAAATGAAATGCCAAAGATAATTAACAACATTTCTCCTTACTTAGGTCCAAAATGTATGTCTTTAGTTTAAAAAACGACTGACATGTGGATCTTCAATTTTCTACACACCCATCGTTTTTCTCTAACCCTAGATGCAACTGAGATTTTTGTATCAGTTCATCCAGTATTGCATCGTACGTGAGGGTATTGAGTCAGTGCCATTCAGTCAAAATGGTTAGTTGTTGCCTTAAATGTTTCGTATTTTCTTTGGTTTCTTGGGTTGATCTGTGGAGTAGGGAAAGAGCAGAAAGTATACATTACTGATGAATCTACAAAGAAGGGAAATTAGCAGTTACTGCAATTGACGAAAATTTATCACAAGAGCATCCTCATGCGCGTATCCACAAATAAACACACTGGGACATGCACAAACATAAACAGAGCCTAAGGTGAACACAAATACTTTGACATCATCGTGCTAGACTCCACCCTTTTACAAAATTTGATCGATTTACATGTAGGGTCCCAAAATGCTCGGCAGTTGATCGGTCAAAACGATTTTACGAAATAGATCTAAGGCATGTTATCGTAACTAGTATCAATATATTTGAATCGTTCCTGCATATGCATCAATATTACAACTGCCACAGGTCAATCTAGCTTACGATCACTTACCTCGCTAAATGATCAACGGGACCTTATTGTTCCAGCATGTGCCCGTGTCGGCCCACTAACATTTTCTCATTTTATTTATCCATTGAAAATAAGCAAATTAGACACTGCGGACAACCTGACTAACAGTTACTTTGTTTATTATTTTAGATGAATACGTCAACAATTAAATGGAAACAAAACAAAATAACTTTGTATCTAAAACTCCGATTATCGCCTTATCAGATAAATTATGATTCAATACTAAAAAGTTACTAAAGCAGTGTTTTATTACATGCGCCGTTGACCACGAAATGCATTATTAAATACCGGCAGACCAAGAGATTACACAAAGTCTAGTCATCATTTTGCAAGAATTCGTGTTGAACGAATAATATCTCAAAGGGTGATTACGTTGCAGTGTCAGATGTCCGCAATTCTCTAGTTTGAACCCACAAAATGAGCGAAGACTTCATTTATCGACAGTAGGAATACAATAATCACTGCTTAGTAGGCCTTGTTATTAAAAAAAATAATTATGATTGAAATGCCATGTTTTTATTTGCTTAGATCTAGCCATTTTTTCCTGTCTAACAACCTAATAAAGTTTCTCAGTGACAGCACTCATTAATGTTTATTACTCTTTAGGGTTGTTTACTTGAAGCAAAGCGTAACTTTTGAAGTCGTTCCTGTATTATATGAGTTGTATTAAATACAGGACAGGCGCATTTGCGATAGTACGATCGCTTTTGCAACAAAAACTGAGCCGATGGTGAAGAAAGCCATGTAATTGTTTAAAGCTGCCAATTGTATTAAACCAAAGAAGCTTTATATAGTAATTCATAAGATTATAATCAATCTCTATTTTAATAAGCAAATTGATATTAGGCATGAAAAAGTTTTACATTTATTTATCAAATGACTTTGGATCTACATTAATGCAGGACTTTATAAAGGCCTACTACCTGTGTGACACAAGCAGACCTCGTAAGCAAAATTCGTAGCAGAACGTTGAAATGGATTAATGCATTATTGCTTTTCGCAAGCGCGAAATGTATTTAGTGTCATAGTTAACATTAAACTCCCATGTTCTAATTTCAATAAAAAAATTAATCACACTCATTTAGCATCAATATTAATAAATAACACACGTTAGCAATGTAAAAACCTTTTAATGCTCCTAAAAGGTATCCGTTTCGTTTAACATACTAAAATTCTCTAACCCTGCTGACCTTGGGATTTGATAAAGAGGCTGCGGGGTTTCAGATGTCGATGTCGATCCTAGCCCTAAAGTTTAAGTTCGGCTATCTGGCCTATTCACATTCATAAAGCCTCAGTAACGGTGAAACATAATGCCTTTTCAACCTTCTTAGATAGCGCCCCACTTTCAAATGCTAAGGCTACATCGATTAAATCGATATTTTAACGTAAGACTGTAATGCTGAACGGAATCTCTGAGCTAATTAATGTATTCATTGACTGTTTTTCTACTTCTTTGTCTTTGAAATTTTAGCAAAAATGGTTTCAATCGATTACATCGTTCGTTAGTTCTGAGATTTTCTTGAACGCTGTTACTACAAAGTTTTTTAATGAATAATGGATTATAAATTGACTATATATCTAAGTTGCATCTGAGGTTTTTTAAGCTATTTGTGACGTTTGCGTTTGTACTTCTGAATTTTTAAGCACATATTTTGATTATATTATACTTAAGCATAATTCAGTCAAAAAAGTACTATCTGTAACTTCATAGGTCCTTACGCGACAGTACAGACATTGGGAAATTATTTAAAAAGTTCCCCGGACCTGATATTTAAATTTGCATTGAATATAGGAGTATGGTAATAAGGAGTATTACCAATACTTATGTAGGCATTACCACTGCTCTTATATTGTTGATGCTAGCAGTGTTTCTGATCCAAATAATGCAATATCATAAGAAGTGATCAATTAAACCGTTAAGCACGTTGCCGTGGAATTCGATAGTTTAAAAGCGTAGGCCTTATAATCAAGTGTAAAACCATGTACGTTATTCTTAAACTTACGGTGAATAATTTAGCACTCTATGTCTAAAAGAGGAGAATACTTTGGCTTATAGTTTAACACAACGTAAAGTTAATCTAACGTCTAATCCCCGTACCTATTAAGGTAGTATTTTTCACACAGTTACAATTGCAATCACTAATCAGTAGGGTTAATCATGTGGTTAACATCATAGCTAGAAATTCACGATTTTAAAAACATCCATTAATTAACTGATTGGATTTCCCCCATCTCTGGCTTTCTTTGTCTTTCCAGGTATCTATCTAGCGTATTCAGGGAAAATCGAACCATTTAACACATATGTCCTGAGATGCCTCTAATTCAGGTTTTTTGCCGCATTTATAGTTTTCATGTCTCCCATTGAACTAAATGGCTGCAAACCAGCCACTTTGAAATGGGCCTTTAAATAATTAAGCAAAACAAACAATCAATATGTAAGAGGTTGAGGAGGAGCGCGGGCTGCCTCTTGGAACATGTGATGTCGCAAAGGTGACTCATAAGCAACGAATCTCGTTTCAGGAACTCCTTACACTCTATTTTTAGTTTCTTGTTGCAAATAGTGCAGTTGAAAATAGGGCCTAACTATTTCTTACACAAGTTCAATAAAATAAAGGATATTTTACCGTAATCTATAACAAGATGTAGTGGTTTATATCAAATATTATACAGCAGGCATCTTTTAAGTAAATGAATACCTTTGATGACCAAGAAAATTTGCATTTACAAGAATCAAAATAAATCACTTCCTACGTAGAATATTATAGCCAAATCAAAAATCTACAAATGAAGAATCTGTAGCATGTATATGTATTCATTATGCTAGTATTTTGACATTTTTTGTGCAAAATAAAACAGGAATCCGTGCGCAAAAGTTAGAAAGAAAATGACATTTACGAGGTAATCAAATGTGTTACTTAAACATGGTGTTTGCTGCTAACTTATAGTAGATGCATCCCGCTACAGTGCATTTATCTTTTTGTTACATTCAAAGCAAAATATACCCATTGTAGTTTGCAACATTTCCGCAATTTCGGTGCCCCAATTGCTTACATTGTACACTGTTTTTCCTTTGTGTGTTTTTCCTTTTAAAATTTAGAATTTCATATTTCACCAAACCACACGCAACAGCTCCTACATAGTGGGCTTTCTTTTATTTGCTTGTATAAAGAGCGCGATCATTGAGCTAATAAAAAATACTTTTGACCAATTCTTAATTTTAAGTCCTTAAAAATTCAAGCAAACGTGATTTTTTAGTTCTTTAGTTTTAAGGCTTCCATGGACAAATATTTTGATTTACCTCTGACCCCTGTTCCAGACATTTTCTCACTCGGATTAAAATTTCAAAGTAAAGAAACTGTAAGAAAGGCAAGTTAGGAATTTTAAACATAATTGCAGTCATGACGACGTTGAGGACGTGGAACTATCATCAAAAGAGCGAAGAATTCACATTGCGTTTTGTCCGAAAAGGCATAAATCATTGTATACTTTGGGTAGTAGTGTGGGATTATTAAAACTATGGGTGGGTAAATACGACAATGTTGCAAATTAATTTAAAAATATCATATACGAATGAGATTTCTTACGAATTAACATGTACAACACGATATACTTTCGTGAACGAGGGTAAAGGTTTAAATAAGTAAGACAGAAAGTCTTCATTTTTGGTTTATCCTGTTTCACCTGATACGTCTGCAAAAACGGTTCTTTACAGAAATCGATTGCAAACGATTGACGCCTACATTCATATAGAAACTAGTGATTGCATTTTGCGCATTCCGCGAGCTTTTTAACAAGGGTGAAGGCAATTTGAGGTATCAACATTAACTATTTCTTTGTACCGTAGCGTAATTAAATAGCATGACTTGATAGCCAGTTAAACAGATATAGTGTGTGCGTTTGTAAATATATACGAGAGTCAAAATGTGCTTGAGAAAATCGCGCAGTTTCCAAACCCTCCACCAAAGCTACACCGGGAGCCACAGTCACATGGCATTTCGCCAACAGCTTGAATTTCGTGATTTCACCATTCGTTTTTCGTGGGTTCGGCTTCGACGACTTCGTCCTTGCTACATCGACAGCCCACCTTTCGCTTTAAACACAGTAGAACAAGCGAAACGATGATGGCAAAGACGACAGCAATGGTAACGGAGATAAAAATCGGCTGGTAATTCGAAAACGCGGCTAAAATATAGCAAAAAAATTTATGGGGGAAGGGCAAACAGTTTTAGTTTTGGTCAATACTGCCTTATAAAAAGGTTTATTATGAAATACCTGCAGTTGAAATCGATTTTAGTTTTGTGCTCATGGAAACACTGCTTTATTAGAGGTCATGTTGAAACGTCAGTATTGAAAACGATCATAGTTAAAGTAACTATTGGTCAGCGTTGAAATTACCAGATTACAACTACAATATGATAATACGACTTTGATTCAATTGTGATTTTTTTGTACGTTTGTGGCTTAATCTTGCTCCATCAGAAAACGCCACATACTAAGATCCAGCTGCCACAACTGCGTACCCACTTGGTCAGGGGAATTCGTCGTTACACCGAGGTTAACGAGCTCACCGTTAGTTTTTATGCTCATGCGACCAGCTGCATCACTGCAGAGTCTCTTTGAGACGCAGAAACTCACGGACACGGTGTAGATGGTGTCCGGATTGAGGCCGTCAATGGAGCACCCTAGGTCCTCGTGCGAAGCGTTGGCAACGCAGAAGTGCTCCATTGTTTGCACGGCGTTTCCGAAGCCTGTCATGGCCGCCGCCCGATAGAAACCAGCATCCCCCGTGATGCCTTCTGGCTCTAGCCAGCTGACGAAGAAGCTGCTGGAAGTGACTCTGTCCACGGTCATTTCCAGTGGAGCTTGTGAGACAAGATGGCGAAACAAACGACGTCAAATACTACTCATTCAAACTACGCAGTCCATTCTGGTTTGAGAAGTGCTGTGTTCACGGATGCGGATTGTAAATGGGCGTGGGTTTATATTGAATTATTCAAACTATACATTTTAGCCAGAAAAAGTGAAATCGAGGACCCATTACAGTTGAGTTTATATCAATGCTTCACTGCTATTCCACACTCGCTGCCTGCTAGACTTTGATAACTCATTTTGGTTTTGTAAACCATAGATCTTGGAGTCAGTCCAAAACAGTATCAAATAACGCACACATTGCTTTCCTAAACTATGAAAACTACCATTCATAGCATTTGCTTCTTCCGATTTCAACAAAGTTTACTTGAGAACAGTGATTGTCCTTGGCACGAAGCAGTGTCGTCGACTAGGAAAAGGTTGATTTGACTGAAACAATAAAAATGGACGAAAATGGTCCTTTTTTGAATGCAGGAAGCATTTTAATCGGATGTTGAAGGGTGCTAACCATTTGGCTTTGTCCAAGCAGATGCCATCACATCCTTGCTACACAGCAACACGCGTTTGGCGTCGATGCAGGCTCTGACTGTGACGTTGTACTCCGTAGCTGCTTTCAGGCCTTCAAACTGACACTCCAGCTTCTCCTTGGACGTCACTTTACAGTGCTTTGTCGTCAAGCCACCGCGAAGTGTTGCTGTGTACTGAATCGTACGGTTGACTACCTCGGGTTTCGGGAATCGGACGACTAGTGATGACGGTGTTATTGACTTCAAGGCTACTCCAGTCGGTTCTGTTAAATAGGAGGATCTAGTGATGTTATAGGGACAAAAGTGCTTTTATGTGCAATTTATAAAGATTAGGAAATGGACTTTACTTGTGCCAGAAAACCAATTAGCTAACGCCTTAGAAAATATTGTAAAAAACATTTTTTTGCTTTTCTACTGACAAAGTAACCGAGAAAAGAGACCCTAGGTAAGTGAAAAGCTAACAACACAGATTAACTGTTGATAATCATGCATCAGACTGATTAGTTACAGAATTTACGACCTTTCGGTTTGGTCCATCCTGACGCATTGAATCTCCTGCCACAGACGGCAGATTTTGAGACATTTAGACACCCCCTGACTGAGACTTGGTACTCCGTAGCAGCGTCTAGACCCTTCAGTGTGCATTCAAAGCCTGTTATTGGCCAAATATTGCATGATTTGAGGGGTTTCATGCCATGAAGAGCTACTTCGTAGTATTCGATTCCAACGGCACCCAGAGAAAGGTTGACTCGAACAACAAGAGATGAGGTGGAGATAGGCCTCACTGCCACGGACTTTGGATCTGTTGGCAGGACAACGACCGACCCCTATATAGTATCCTGACCTTTTAAGTAATATCATTAAATATACTGGTTTTATTATTAACATGAATCGGTGATGATCGTTAATGTAGTGTTAATGCAACGATCTTAGGCGAATTAAGCATTCACTTGGTAATTTGACACAACGGACTGGTTTTCACAGCAAAAGAATGGAACATAAAAGAACAACGACGTCTAAAGCAAACTAAACTCAGGGTAGCCACGTATCTAAACGCTAACAATACGCCTGGTATCAGTCGAGGTACCATTAGAGGTATCCATGAAAATCAAATTCATGTTGAATATTACGTGTTCAAATATTAAGAATCCTTTTTCTACCAAGGGAAACTGCTATTTGGTTTCACGGTGATGGTTATACACTTACATTGCGGCTCTGTCCATCCGACGACTGTCATGGGGTCACTGCATGTGTGGTTAAATTTCCCACCCATCCAAGATCTGACATCAAAGGTGTAGCTTCTAGCCGGATCAAGACCAGTGATTTTGCACGACGGCTTTGGTGCTGCTTTCACTGAACACCCCAACTTATTACTCTCGCGGGCCCACAAAGTGTACAGTTTTATGCCGGTTGCGTCCTTCGGTGGATCAATTTCAGCTACCAGTGAATTAGGGCTGGATGGCAAGATGCGGACCCTGGAAGGAGCTGGAAAGGGCAAATTCGAGATTAAACACTGCAAATTTACCCTTTGGTACAAAAAGGCAGATTATACATGCCTTACCTGAACCACGTAATGTAGAACTCATGGAAACCTACATCTTGCGGGCGTTTAAACGATGTGTTAAACGCAAAAGCAAGCAGGAGCGGTATATTCGAGAAAATTAATCTTCTTAAGACTTACTTTTTTCTTAATGCAACTAAATGGTCATAGCTTCAACACAATCACACCTGCCAGTAGCGGAAACGTGGAAGTGACGGTGCACATTGTTCGGTACTGTTTTGATGCTATGCTTTGAAATGATTGTGCGTGCGTTGATTTTGTCGGAAACAACATAGCTTGAGAAGCAATTACATCCATTTAAGAAAAGTTTTTTTTTGGAAAAGGTATTCTTACTATTGGCACGTGCATAAAAACAAAACACGACGGCAGTAACAATCAACAGTGTCTAATTTGCCAAAATATTTAAACATAACTTACGATTTGTAAGTGTGGGAAAGACAGTAGGCGCAGATTTCTTACTGCAAATATATCTTGCATTTATTACTGCACAAGCAGTCATGTGTGCAATGATTGCAGTTCCTGGAGACAAATTTGTAGTTTTGCAGGTACGCGAATGCATGTAACATCTACCAAGGCTTGTGTATTTCTTGTCCACAATTCTGTATTCATAGTATGTAGGTGAGTACACGAGCGGAACAAAGTTCCAGATAATGTACGAAGTCCCACGACGGGAAAATGTCGGTGGAGGTGGGGCTAATTAAACAATCAACGAGAGATGTTTTAAATATTCATCACATATTTCGTGTCCAGCAGATAAATATCCGTGTCTATGTAGGTAAAAAAGTTGGAATTGGACTTTGCGTGCCAGCTAAATCTGTTATCTGACAATTCTTTTGTAAACTGCAATAGATCATGAAATCACAACCTGTTTAAAAGCATCATTATAATTTTAACCAATATAACCCTCGGGATATGCAAATTACAATTGACAGTTTACAGAGGACGAACCAAAGGAATAAAAATAATTGCTATGTTAATCAAATTCAGAGTCTACTTTCAATGCATCTCGTAAAAAAGGCAACTACTGCTAGAGATTGAAAAAATCACTTTAGGTTTTACTTTCGTCCTATTACATAATTTCTGCTTGCCTTTTTTAATAACCCTTCAAGTTAATCAGGATTTCGGTTACTTTGAAGCCAATAAAATTTTAAAATATATGGGAATTCAAAAAAATAAATACATTTTTCAGGCTGATGGCTGAAAATTCTATGCATAGGATGCCAGTTAAGCACTCTTTGTGAGCAATATACAAGTCGCAAATACCACAACATATTAGATCAAAACACTGCTATCTCTTTTCAGGTGAGAAAACTCTTATTAATTACATTGATTCTTCGTTCATACGATTAGGCTTTCAATTGAGGTGCTGCATTGTAACAGAAAAAAAGCACATCAAATAAAAACGTAAGAATTATGTTACCTGGAATTTCGATGGATTTTAAAAGCGTTTCAGTAATTGACGATTCACGATCTAGAATTCAAATAATTTGGTTTAGGAATTTTGCAAATATTTGAATAACCATTCTCCGAGTATTAGCAAAAGACATTTTTCATTTAACTAATAGGAAAATCAGTGACACTGTATATCATTTCACCCAATTAAACGCATAGCTAGAACAGTCATGATATGCAACCATTAAGTACTATTAATTGCACAAGTATCCAAAATATTTTGATATTACTTTGTGTCAAATACAACACTAAGATTTCTTTTATTTTTATGCCCTCAAAGGTTTTACAAACACTTTTTTGAATTTATTGCGCATATTATTAAAGGCGAAATGTAGACCACACACCACAGGTTCAAAAGAGTACAATTAAATATGGTTTCGTCTGAATTTATTTATATCTTTCAGGCCAAAACGATGCTGCAAAAAACTAGTTAACACAAACGTTAAAATTTATCTGCAAAGAATTTTCAAACGGTCTTGAGCACAAAAAACAAACATGGAACAGAAGAACTTTTAATTCGGCAAAAGATAAACTGAATGCTTATAACATTGCATTTTGTGATGTTTTAGTGTTAACCCATTCTTTTAGGAAGTTAAAACATTACATTATTTAAATTACCTAATCTCGCGTAAGTAGAAAATGCAAAAGCCACCAATGCAAGCCCTAGAGTGACAGAGAACTGAACAACCATTTCTCACACGTTAGTGCAAATGTGCTTGCTTGTACAACCGCGGCTGGCCTTGAAAGACTTCAGGATGTAGCAAAACAAACATAATTCAATATTTAAAGTGCTATTTGCAAAATATTTTATTTTATAAAATGTAAATCTATTCCGATATATCGAATTCAGCATTCACTATTCTAATAGTCGCCATTTTCAAGGTATTAGAATATGATTGAGCTAAATCAAGCCTAACATCTTGATTTTTATGATTCTACCTAGCCTGTGAAATGTATTTTTGCGCAACTTTTTGGCACAGTTAACTTTATTTATTAACAGACACCACAAATAGCGAAACTACACTTAAAGTACCTAATGACAACATAATTGCGAATTCCAAATTCTAAATTCCTAGTTAAGTACCGGATATTTATTTTGACTTCATAGGTTAAAGACTGATTTTCAGGTTTTGCAGTCTACACCCATTTCATAATCTTTAAACCGCGATCTTTACTGAATTTGACAAGTATACAATTTTGGGTTTTTGCCAATAAGATATTAATTATATTTGTGCATTTTTTTCAAAATAAATGCATAAAATCATAAATTATTTGAACCCAACTTTAGTATAGTGTTGTGAAACATGAAATTACATAGAATCAGTAAAAACTACATATTCTACTAGTCGTTCAACATTTAGAGCGAAGTGTTTTATTCAGCAGAATACAATAAACATAATTGTAAAGATCATCAGTTTCCGTAGAGTATTCTGTACTGATTCAAATATATTTGACAGCTGAAACCTTTTGTAGTAAATTGTTTATATATGGACATAATAGTTCCCTCATCACTAGGTTGATTTTTTTCAATCTTTTTCTTGAAACTAAAATAAATTCTTTTCGAAAACGTTATATTTTGCGTTGTAGTGGATAAATACTTATTTAACCACAATTAAATAGGTGAAAGAAAGTTCGAATCTTAATTTTGAATTACTTACTCAGGTATTCTTAGTATTAATCCAAGTTTGGCAGGTTTTGCATTAATGTTCCACATTCGTATGCGAAAAGTTTTCTGCTTTTTTGTTAGTACAAAACTGTAAAGCAGTCTAAGGAACCCTGTTCTGAATCGGGATGGTACACACTCGTTTATCCCATCACTCCAGCCTCTGACACAGGGTCCCCTTTCTCGCAGCTGGTCGCCAGCCATGCGGATCGTAAACTCCCCCCTCATTCACACGAACATTTATCCTGGATTGTCTTCACACCTCGGTCGGACCAGAGTCAACTCAGTGACCCCGGCGTGGCTCATAACACCCCAAACTAGCTCTTAAAATATCTACAATGGTGATTGATTTAAATCAATTAAATTAGCCACAAATGTGCCCGAATAATTTTGATATAAATGAAATAATATCTTTAAAAAACACAAAACGAAAAGGTAGTATTAACAGGCCTAAATTCTCAATGTCACCTTTAAAAGGCATCATGTATTTTAGATTTCGATAAAGCTTAGTATTGTGTTGTTCGTATATTTAAAGAAATGAGATGCCGAAATGCAACTGAATCTTATAAGAATTTGTCAACCCAAATGGTGACTGAAAATTTAGTTTGTCATTCCCAATTATTACTTCAAAACTGATATTTATTATCTCTCCTTTTACGAAATTAGAGATAAATCGTAAATGCAGATTAGCAAATTTCTCATTTCAGTCTAGCCTGCTTTTCAATGAAATGACTTCAGGATAATCATTGCGCTCTACACATGCAACATCTCAGCCCTAAGCCATAAATTTCCGTTATCTAGGTTTGAGTTTTTTCTTGATTATCCCCTAGATATTAAGATTGAGGAACTTAAAATGACCCGCTTGATGAGACTAGACGCGAACTTTAAGTCTGCATTACTGTTGATTTGATTGTCTACAGGGTTAATATGTTATTACTTTCAATAAATGAAACTCAAAGTGCTCTTTGAATTGTTTAATTTTCACGCCAACTCCTCTAGGTGGTGTACGTAATCTTGAAAGAACGCACCTATTTCTGGCGTTAAGAAGTACACACCTCGATGTTTTATGAGTGGTAAATGTGAGCAAATTCTGCACCACCTGAATTCTTCTCCTAACTTCTCGACTTAAAATGAGCAGTGAAAATTAAAGCGAACTCAAAGGTCACGAAGAATTTCGAATTATCACATTTAATGACAGTGAATGTGTGCTTACTTTACTTTTGACCATGAAAAGCATTGTCGGACGTTCATAAAGCAATTACAAACATTGAAAACGCAAACTGCAATTCACTGCATATTCAACAATAAAAATGTGGCTCGTGTTAGTTAGTCAGTTAGGGCAAATATATTCACATCAGAGATTTCATGGGGAGTAGATACAATGTATTAGTAAAGAATCGATTGAATTCAGTATTTACTTTATCGATTTTTGCAATTTCTCTGTTGATTTCCTTTTTTACAATAAGGCGAGGTGTGCAGAATAGCCATATAATTTTTTTTCATATTTTCGAGATGAGTGGGTTAAAACAACCATTTTACACTAAATTTCTATGCAAACATCTGCAATTATATATAAGCGGTAGTAAATTTGACCAATGGCAAATAGTTGGGATGTATTTGATAAATGCAGCCCAGCACAGTAAAGTTGCAATGCTCATTACCTTCCAAGGAATATTTCCTGCTGTTCCAGAACATATTTAACAGCAGAAATCATTTCTAGTGGACTATTTTAATCCAAGCGAATCATAAATCGTGATGTTGGGGTAATTATCCTGACATCAAGCATAGCAGGCAACATTAAATTGGTTTAAAAAAATGTTATAATTTATAAACATGTGGGTGAATGGATCTTCATCGTGGAGACGATTGATAACACAGAGTACGCGTCAACCTTAACAACTTACTGCGGA